TATAATATAAGTAGTAGTATATAATATAAGTAGTAGTATATAATCCAAGTAGTAGTATATAATATAAGTAGTAGTATATAATCTAAGTAGTAGTATATAATATAAGTAGTAGTATATAATATAAGTAGTAGTATATAATATAAGTAGTAGTAGTATATAATCTAAGTAGTATATAATCTCTTTAAAGACAAACAACACCACCTCCCCGTTCAAGCCACTTCGAATTGACAACAAAAAGCATACTTCATGTTTCTATTAACGTTTATCACGCCGAATACGTAGCGCCCAACTGTTCCTGCTCTCGACGCTTTCTGCTCCTCTGTGCTCTTACTGATCCTCCTTTACTCCTCGCAGTGCTGGTCCGCAAACTCTCGTCCACTACAGTGCTCGCAGCAGTAGACTTCACCACATACTCGGAAGCCATCCAAACTCGAATGAGCCTATGAGGCGACATGATTCCCCAGTCCTTATATTCTTCCATCGGCCCGAGCTCGTTCTTCTTGCAATCGAGAAGCATCGTAGAGTAGTTATTACAGCATGGCATCGCCACGACCAGCGCTAGTCTACCAAAAAAATAAAATTATCAATTTTACGAAATTTTTTTCTCTCACTTTCCAGATTTCCCAGGGGCTATGCAGCAATTTACTGCGTCCTGTAAACTTCGTAGATGCGCGTGAACACATACTATCACCCAAACCTTGACATTAGCATTGAAGAGTTGACAGTCCTCGATCTTCCTATCGAGCAAATGAAGTCTATTCACCTTCCCTTCGTATCTGATAGAGTTCATCTGCACTACAACCATACCTCTGCTGTAGCTCACCGACTCGCGTCTAGCTGGGGATCAATAGACCACACCTGCCAACTCGTTCGATACGCGAAGAGCGCTGCGGTTCTCGGCGTGCTGCCATCACCAACCTAAGAGTGTCTTTGTGAAAAGAGCCAACTCCACTGATAACTACTACTACTACTACTACTACAACACAGCCAACGTCTACTACTACTACTACTACTACTACTACTACTACTACTACTACTACTACTACTACTACTACCACAACACAGCCAACGTCTACTACTACTACTACTACTACTACTACTACTACTACTACTACTACTACTACTACTACTACTACTACTACTACCACAACACAGCCAACGTTGTTGTCATTCATCCCAATATTGAGAGCAGCCACGTGGCGTCTGACCGCATGGAACGCAGCCATTGATTCAGAGATCTCCTTAGCATCAGGATACAACTCGAGATCAAGGAGCTCGCCTGAGTCAACCAACATGCACGAACACAAAATGTAATACCACGGCGACACACACATGGTCAACTACACGTTGAAAAGTTCGAAAAAATGCTCTTTTTCTCACATACGAATTTCAAAATCAGTGAGTAATACTACCAGCGCTGAAGTTGAAATACATATTCTCGCCTCCTTTAACCGAGTTCCCTACACTGATAAGTTCACAGACGAATTCGGGTAGAAGTGTACAGAAACCAACGAAAATTTCCCTATAATTTTCACCAATTCACCATGTGCATGTTCTTCCATTGTAATACTACCAGCGCACTGTAGACCACCAACGAACTCATCTATATGTCGCAGACTGGGTTGTTGTTGATGTTGTTGTTGCACTTGGTTTCCCATTTCTGATTCCATCGGAGCTTCCCCACAGATCAGTAACACTAAGCGAGCAATGTACAGTATAAAT